TCACAGGTCAGAAGGGAAAGTCCCCGCTGCGGACAGACATCCTGTCGGGCGGTTGGTCCAGTCCTTGCACATGTACTTTCCCTATATTTCCTGAACTTAACCTGGCTGTTCAGTCACAGTTCTAGAACCTTCCATGTGCTTCAGGAGAATGGGGCTCCTTTAGGGTCGCCACATTAAAGAGCCAACACTGACTCTTTAGTGAGGCCCGTGGGAAAGTGAAGAACAAATTTCTCAGCAGATGACTCTAGCGATGGGGACGGATTCCCAGCTGGGATTCCCAGAGGTCAGAGGGGAAGGTCCCTGCGGAGGACAGACGTCCAGATGCGTGGTAGACTTGTCCAGTCCCTGCACATGTGCTTTCCTCGTATTTCCTGATCTTACCCTGATGTTCAGTCACAGTTCTGGAAACTTCCTGCGATTCAGGACTATGGGGCTCCTTTAGGGTCACGGGACCCAGCCCCCCCGCCCCGACCCCTCACAGAGCGTTTGCCTCCCACAGGCAGAGGCGGGGAGAGCCGCGCTCAGGCTGCCTGTCAGTCTGGGTGTCGGGAGGGGACGTCTGGGACCCTGGGGAGCGTGTGGGCTGGAGTCTAGGAGGGGGCTCCCCACCCCGTGACTCTGCTACTGTGTCCTTCCCCAGGCGGTGACAGTGCCCAGCCGTCTGAGGTGCCTCTCACAGCTGCTGACGGTGAGACCCTGAGGGCAGGACGCGGGGGCACTGGGACCGAGGGGCACCGCTGGGTTTGGGGATCCTCAGAGTGGGACGTGCTGAGCCTGCGGTGGCTGTGGGGGACTGTGACTCTTCTGAGACTGACGTGAATTGTTCATGACAACGTTCTTTGCAGCGTGACCCAGGTGCTTTCCACAGGACTTGGTGCTGAAATACTCACTGCAAACCCCGCTTTGGAACTTCAGGAACCTGTAACTGCACTTTCTGCACCAGCATCAGAACCTGTCTGCATTATTTTAAAATTACATGTGTGTGTGTTTGTATTTATGTGTGTATATATATGTGAATAAATCAGAAGTATTTTGGATTAAAAGCAGCAACGTGTCTTCCTTCCAGTAGGTGTTCTTCGATCTACACTTTCACCCCATTTGTTAGGCTGTTCTATTCCAAGTAACTTCAAGTTATTAAAATAAAATGAGGTGTGGAGAAACCCTGGTGGGACACAGTGTGTGTCATGGAACAAGGGGGCCTCACGGCTCCCCAGTGACGTCCCCTGGGACCGCCGGGGCTGCGAGCACAATTCAGGTTTCTTCCCGCACATCCGAATGTCACCTTTTGGAGCCTCTGTCTGTGGCTGGGTTTGTCCCTTGATTGTAACCAGGTGCTTCTATGTGGCCCAGGAGCCCCCCGAGCGTTGAGGCCCCTCCTGCAGCCCTCGGGGTGTCCCTGTGGGGCTCAGAGCGCCGACCCCTCTGAGGGTGGGGACACCTGCCTACAGCAGGAGCTGCTCCGGCGCCCACTGTCCTCAACCCCCCGCAGACCCTGTCCTCAGTCTGCGGGTGCCGAGTCCCGGAAGGTCCTGGCCAAGGCGCCGATGTCCTTAGCGGCTTCCCCTGAGGGGTCCTCCCCAGGAGAGAGCCCTCGGGCCGCAGGGCCAGCCTGGCTGCTGGGCTGAGCCCAGAATCAGGAGACAAGGGACCCGCGAGGCGGGAGGGGAAGGTGTCAGAAACCTCCCTGCGTTCCCGGCTGCAGCCGCTGGGGGCGCTGCCGGGCTGTGGGCGGTGGGAACAGCGGGAACGGACTGGGTGCTGAACGCGTGCGGAAGATGCATTTCACAGCGTTTCCTAATGATTAAACCTGGGGTGTGGGAAGGAGTCAAGGAGGGCACCCCACATGGTACTGTGGCAGCAGAAAGACGGGGGTTCTCTCAGGAGAGATGGGGAGACGCTGTCAGGAGCCTTTGCGGGGGAGGGGTGGGCATTGCAAGTGTCCACTGAAGAGAAGGTCACGGTGGGATGTGTGTCAGAAACAGCAGTGACGTGTCTGGTTGGCGATTCGACAAATGCATCTGGGGACCTTTAGCAGCAATGCCTGGGCTGGAGACACAGATTGGGAGGTGATGCTACGAAAGTGACATTTAAAGCCATGAGTGCGGATGCGGCCACCAAGGGAGCCAGGGCTGTGGAAGAGGAAAGAACTAGGGCTGGTCACTAAACCACCTCTCCTGACAGTGGGGACGCTCATGTCGGTGACTCACCAGGTTGGTGACAGCCAGGTCTCCCCATTATATGTTAACGGTTTGGTCTTTGTCATTCATTAGTAATTTAAGAGGCGATGTTCTGAGGTTGCCCTACTGTGCGCTTCATCACGTCTGCACTAACCCTCCTCAGCCCCTCTGACACCTTCCTCCCAAGACAATGAAAATATGGTGTTAGTCCTATGTCCCCCTCAGCTCTTATTAGTGGGATGTGAAGTGCAGCCCAAGGAGTCTAGTCAATAAGATGGTGACTATGTGTGGTGTCAGATGGGCCCTAGAATTATCGGGGACATTACTTAATAGCTATATCCATGTTTAATCACTGCGCTTGACAGCTGAGACTAACATAATATTTTATTTATCAACTATAAATAAACTATAGTATATGTAATTGAACGATAGGAAAATGTTCTGCCATGGCTGATGTGGCTCAGTCGATTGAGTGCCGCCCTGTGAGACAAGGGGTGACCGGTTCGAATCCCACAGGGCACAGGCCTGGGTTGCAGGCCAGGGGCCCAGTAGGGGGCACACGAGCGGCACCCACACATTGATTTCCATCTCTTTCTCCCTTCCTTCCCCTCTCTCTAAAAACAAATAAATAAAATATGTTTTGAAAAGAAGGATAATAGAAAAATATTTAAAGTTAAAGAAAAGCGTATTTCGAACTCCATGTCCAACGTTCTGACAGCAGTTTTATGGAGAAATTTGAGTATTTGGTGACAAGCCCGCAAGTCATTCTGGTCTCAAGTCAATTTGGATCCACACAATTCAGTGATGAGACAGGGCCCAGTTTGGGAAACAGACTTAAATCTACACTTAATTGTTTTTCTCCCTCGGGGAAGGAAAGGCAGTTCCTAATTCGCCACAGGAGGGTGGAAAGTCCGTGCCGTTTTCTCCACCGTGGGGCACAGTCAGCGGAAGGTTCAGAGGTGGCTCTCAGGGCAACGGAATGAAAGTCTCCGAACGCTCGCTCTCTGCAAGTACCCGCTGTGAGTGATTTCTGGAGCAAAGAATGGAGCCCAAATTTTCTCATTTAAACATTAAACGTTTTATATGTGGGATATTGGGGGCTCGTTTTATTTCAGCAAAAGCCACAGAACAGACCTGAGGCCGAGAGCGGCGAGAGCCGTGGGACTGGAACCCGCAGGAAGAGCAGCCCGGGTCGCACGGGATGGCAGGTGAGGGACCTGGGGACAGGGCTCCGACCAGAGCAGGAGCTGAGGGGAAGGGCCCGGCAGGAGGCTCGGGGACCGGGGCTCCGGGTGCCGAGGGTCCTGCACCCCGTGCCCACGTGACCCTAAGCTCAGGTCGTCCCCAGGGAACAGGGTCGCTTTCCCTGCCTCCTGCCCGCTGCTCGCGAGGCCGTCTCAGTGACGGCCGTGTCTGCCCCGGTCTCCAGCCGTGCCTGAGGGGGCCGTCTTGTGGTCCAACTCTGATGTCGCATCCGCTGTCCTCATGGCCTGGTCCAGTGTCCGCACGACGCGTCCCCTGCACAGACACCTCCAGGGGCTGCGGCACCTTCACACCCCGCAGGCGCCACCATGCCCTGCAGAGACCAGAGCCGCCCACTCCGTCCCGATGCTGGCGGTCCCCTGTGTCACTGCTACCTGCTGAATCCATTTCCACTTTTTACATCCCCGCCTTTTCAGATTCTCATCTGTGGTTGAAGCAGGCGGCTCCCTGGTTTCCTGTTTCCCCACCGTCAGCCCCTCCCGGCTGGTCCCCAGGGTCCCTGGGTCTCCTGCGTCTGCTCCAGACGTGTCGGAATCACAGTGGACCTGGTAAGTACCTAGAATGCAGCTTCCATAGTCACTGTGATTACTATATTTAGTAATTATTTACTCTTTAAATCATTTACTCATTACTTTTAAATTATCCTGCATCAGTACAAGAGCCACTCAAGCAACGTAACAGAATAGGAAATACTCAATGCTATAGTTTCAGGTTCCGCTTTGCAATGAGCTTTCCAGGAACGACCACTTGTGTAGCTTTACCGTACGATTAAAGATGCATATCCACACTAACCTGAAAAGGTTATGAAAAATGCTGCTCCTACACACTTGTGTGAAGCTGGGTATTTTTTCATATACGGAAACCAAAATAGTAACTTAAACACAGAAGCAAATATGAAAACCCAGCGATGTTCCAATGATACAGACACAAACTGAGAGTTGCAAAAATATAAAATGTAACCAGATCCGCCCACCTCACTACCTTTTTAATTGGGGAATAGGCATTTTTCATAAAAACATTGTTTCTGTTAACATGCGATAGGTTGTTAGTTATTCTAAATTATCTTTTTCCAACTTCTTTTTTCCTTAGGGTAAATATTGATGGCTCTAATGCACACACACAAAATGATCTTGGTTGTCCTCCTTATTTTGTAAGACTGCATAGATATTCTGAAACTCAAATGTTTGAGAGTTGATGAGGTAAACCGCGCGTGGGCCTGGACTCAGGGAGGCAGCAGGACAGGGATTCTTCGTGCAGGACGCGGGCTCAGGGCAGAGTCCCAGGTCCCAAGACCTGGCTGCAGGGTCTTGGCATGAGACCTAGAGGACCAAGAGGGGGTGAGCCGCAGCTCACAGGATGAAGGGGTTCCCTTCTCCTAAGGTTTCACTTCTCCCCCTTACAACCTGCGTCAGGCCCTACATCCTGGAGACACATGACGCTCCACCAGTGCTCACTCCTATTGGGGGGACACTAGAGCAGCCAATCAGCGTCACCCTGCTCTCGGGTACAAAGTCCTCACTAAGACCTGATATTCAGCCACAGCAATCAGTTGACTGGGTCATGGAGCCCTGGTTCCTGCTGCCGCTGCTCTCGGGGGCCCTGGCCCTGACCGCGACCTGCGCCGGTGAGTGCGCGGCCGGGAGGGAACGACGTCTGCGGGACAGGAACCAGGGGACCCGGCGGGGACGCGGGCCCCGGGGAAGGCGCGGCCCCAGCACCCCCCGGAGCAGGCCATATCCGCACCCCGTCCTCTCAGCCACCGGCCTCTTTCATTTCGCCGGACTCCTCCCCTTATCCGATCGAGCGCCAAGGATCAATGATACTCCCCTCCTCGCGCCCAGGTCCCCACACGCTGAGAGTATTCAGCACCGCCGTGCACGGACCGGACCGCGGAAAGAACCGGTTCATCGTCGTCGGCTACGTGGACGACACGGAGATCGTGCGTTTCGACAGCGACACCCCGAACCCGAGGCTGGAGCCGAGGGCACCGTGGCTAGAGCAGCCGTGGGTGGAGGAGGAGCATCCACATTTTTGGGACTACTACACGCGGAGAATCAAGAACTACGAGCAGATGTATGGAGGGAACCTGAACAACCTACGCGCCCACTACAACCAGAGCCAACACGGTGAGCCACGCGCCCCCGGGGCCGGACACGGCCGCCCTCCCAGCGGACGCGCCGGAGTCTCCCCGAAACTCCGGGAAGGAGCGTGGCCCCGGCCCCGCCCAAGCCGCGGGATGCGCGCAGCATCCAACCCAGAAAGAGCCCGTGGGGACTTGAACCCGTTTGGATGATCAGTTTAGGTTAAACACCGCGGGTCGGGTCCTGAAGGGGCGGCCTGGGGCAGACTTGTCCTCAGGGCGGGAAGAAGTGCAGGGACCTGACCGCGGGAGGGGGTCAGGGTGTCACACCTTCCAGGAAATGCGGGGCTGCGTCGTGGGGTCGGACGGGCGCTTCCTCCGCGGGTACACACAGTTCGCCTACGACGGCACCGACTTCATCGCCCTGAACGAGGACCTGAGCTCCTGGACCGCGGCCGACATGGCGGCCCAGATCACCTGGCGCAAGTTAGTGGAGCTCCCTGATGCGGGGCGAAGACGAGGAGTCCTGGGGGACCTATGCGTGCACTGGCTCCATCTGTTCCTGGAAAACGGAAAGAAGACGCTGCTCCGAGCAGGTACCGGGCGCGGGCCTCCCCGAGGCGGGGTCTGCGGGCTGGGGCGGCTCCTACAGGGAGAGGAGGGAGGTGGTCAGAGTCGGAATCCGCCTCCTGCTCCGGAGAGGGAAGGGCCCCCAGGTTTCCTTCTTCTGTGACTCCCCGCGGGCCCAGCTTCCTCTGAAGGACAACAAGGGACCCAGCCTCTCCCTGGAACAGCCACAGAGGTTCCCTGACACCCTGCAGCCACCTGGTGCCCAGGGCGCGCTCCCTGGTTCCCGGGCTGAGCCCGTCTCTGGAGGCCTGACTGCGGCTTTTCTGAGTCATCAGCCTCCGCCTGAGTCTGTGTCTCCCCTTAGAGACCTGGACACTCGTACCCTTGATTCTCAGCCTAATTCTAGAACTTTACACAAAACAGAAGATTACCCCAGGTGCCTCTGTCCAGGCTGGTGTCTGGGTGGTGCACCCCCTTCCCCACCCCCCCTGTCCTGCCCACTCTCAGGATGGTCACATGAGCCCAGTGACCATGGAAAATTCCTGGATGTTCTCACCCTCCCCTCAGACCCGCCAAAGACACACGTGACCCGCCACACCACCTATGACCGTGAGGTTACCCTGAGGTGCTGGGCCCTGGGCTTCTACCCCGCGGACATCACCCTGACCTGGCAGCGTGACGGGGAGGACCTGACCCAGGACACGGAGACTGTGGAGACCAGGCCTGCGGGGGACGGGACCTTCCAGACGTGGGCGGCCGTGGCCGTGCCCCCTGGACAGGAGCAGAGCTACACGTGCCGCGTGGGGCACGCGGGGCTGCCCGAGCCCCTGACCCTGCGATGGGGTGAGGGGGGGCGTGGGCACAGAGCTTCTCCTCAGGGCGTCCCTGAGCGGGGTCAGGACTCGGGCCTGAGGGTGGCCTCTCGCCTCCCCTCGCAGACCCCCCTCCTGGGACCACCGTCCCCATCGTGGGCATCGCTGCTGCCCTGGGTCTCCTTGGAGCTGTGGTCGCAGTGGCTGTGACGTGGAGGAGGACGCGCTCAGGTGGGCAGGGGTGGGGCCGAGGTCCCTGTCCCCCTGGGGGTCAGGCCCAGGTGGCCGTGTGCTCCGCCTCGTGAGTGGGCATCGTACCCACACGGGTGCTGCCCATCGGGGGCCTGTTTGCCAACACTGACCCTTCAGTGAGGCCCGTGGGAAAATGAGGGACAAATTCATCACCTGATGACTCTAGTGATGGGTACGGATTCCCAGCTGTCACAGGCCAGAGGGGAAGGTCCCTGCTGAGGACAGACATGCAGAGGGATGGTAGGTCCAGTCCTTGCACATGTGCTTTCCTCATATTTCCTGATCTTACCCTGAAGCTCAGTTGCAACTCTGGAAGCTTCCTGTGATTCAGGACTATGGGGGTCCTTTAGGGTCACGGGACCCAGCCTCCCCCCCCCGACCCCTCACAGAACATTTGCTTCCCACAGGCAAAGGCAGGGAGAGCCGTGCTCAGGCTGCCTGTAAGTCTGGGTGTCGGGAGGGGACGTCTGGGACCCTGGGGAGCGTGTGGGCTGGAGTCTAGGAGGGGGCTCCCCACCCAGTGACTCTGCTACTGTGTCCTTCCCCAGGCGGTGACAGTGCCCAGGGCTCTGATGTGTCTCTCACAGCTGCTGACGGTGAGACCCTGAGGGCAGGACGCGGGGGCACTGGGTCCGAGGGGCACCGCTGGGTTTTGGGGAGTCTCAGAGTGGGACGTGCTGAGCCTGCGGTGGCTGTGGGAGACTGTGACACTTCTGAGACTGACCTGAATGTGTTCATGACAACGTTCTTTCCCAGCGTGACCCAGCTGCTTTCAGGAGACTTGGTGCAGAAATAGTCATTGCAGACCTCCCCTTGGAATTTCAAGGATCCCTGTACTGCACTTTCTTCACTAGCGTCAGATCCTGTCTGTATTATTTTAAAATTAGTGTGTGTGTGTGTGTGTATATTTGTATTTATGTGTATATATATGTGATAAATCAGAAGTGATTTAGATTAAAAGCACCAAAGTGTATTGTTTCCGGTAGGTGTTCTTCGATGTACACTTTCACCCCATTTGTTAGGCAATGTTCTATTCCAAGTAACTTCAAGGTATTAAAACTTAAAATGAGGTGTGGAGCCAAACCCTGGGTGGGACAGAACAGTGTGTGCCACGTGGAACAAGGGGGCCTCACGGCTCCCCAGTGACGTCCCCTGGGACCGCCGGGGCTGCGAGCACAATTCAGGTGTCTTCCCGCACATCCGAATGTCACCTTTTGGAGCCTCTGGCTGTGGCTGTGTTTGTCCCCTGATTGTAACCAGGTGCCTCTATGTGGCCCAGGAGTCCCCCGAGCATTGAGGCCCCTCCTGCAGCCCTCAGGGGTGTCCCTGTGGGGCTCAGAGCGCCGACCCCTCTGAGGGTGGGGACACCTGCCTACAGCAGGAGCTGCTCCGGCGCCCACTGTCCTCGACCCCCCGCAGACCCTGTCCTCAGTCTGCGGGTGCCGAGTCCTGGAAGGTCCTGGCCAAGGCGCCGATGTCCTTAGCGGCTTCCCCTGAGGGGTCCTCCCCAGGAGAGAGCCCTCGGGCCACAGGGCCAGCCTGGCTGCTGGGCTGAGCCCAGAATCAGGAGACAAGGGACCCGCGAGGCGGGAGGGAAGGAGCGGGAAGCCTCCCTGCGTTCCCGGCTGCAGCCGCTGGGGGCGCTGCCGGGCTGTGGGCGGTGGGAACAGCGGGAAGGGACTGGGTGCTGAACGCGTGCGGAAGATGCATTTCACAGCGTTTCCTAATGATTAAACCTGGGGTGTGGGAAAGGAGTCAAGGGGATGCCCCACATGTGTGCTGTGGCCGCAGAAAGGTGGGGTTCTCTCAGCAGAGATGGGGGAGACGCTGGCAGGAGCCTGTGCGGGGGAGGGGCGGGCACTTCAAGCGTCCACTGAAGAGAAGGTCACGGTGGGATGTGTGTCAGAAACAGCAGTGACGTGCCAGGTTGGACAGATGAGTTTGGGGACCTTTAGGGAAATGCCTGGGCTGGAGACACAGATTGGGAGGTGATGCTACGAAAGTGACATTTAAAGCCATGAGTGCGGATGCGGCCACCAAGGGAGCCAGGGCTGTGGAAGAGGAAAGAACTAGGGCTGGTCACTAAACCACCTCTCCTGACAGTGGGGACGCTCATGTCGGTGACTCACCAGGTTGGTGACAGCCAGGTCTCCCCATTATATGTTAACGGTTTGGTCTTTGTCATTCATTAGTAATTTAAGAGGCGACATTCTGAGGTTGCCCTACTGTGCGCTTCATCACGTCTGCACTAACCCTCCTCAGCCCCTCTGACACCTTCCTCCCAAGACAATGAAAATATGGTGTTAGTCCTATGCCCCCCTCAGCTCTTATTAGTGGGATGTGAAGTGCAGCCCAAGGAGTCTAGTCAATAAGATGGTGACTATGTGTGGTGTCAGATGGGCCCTAGAATTATCGGGGACATTACTTAATAGCTATATCCATGTTTAATCACTGCGCTTGACAGCTGAAACTAATATAATATTGTATGTCAACTGTAATTGAAAAATAGTATAAATCCTGCCATTGCTGGTGTGACTTAGTGGATTGAGTGCCAGGCTGTGAAGCAAGGGGTCACTGGTTCGATTCCCAGTCAGAGCACCTGCCTGGGATACTGGCCAGGACCCCAGTAGGGGACACACAAGAGGCAGCCACACATTGATGTTTCATTCCCTCTCTTACTCCATCCCTTCCCTTCTCTCTAAAAATAAATATATAAATTATTTTTAAAAGGAAAATACAAAAATATTTAAAGTTAAAGAAAAGTGATAACTTGGACTTCAGCCCAACGTTCTGACAGCAGTTTTATGGAGAACTTTGAGTATTTGGTGACAAGCCCGCAAGTCATTCTGGTCTCAAGTCAATTTGGATCCACACAATTCAGTGATGAGACAGGGCCCAGTTTGGGAAACAGACTTAAATCTACACTTAATTGTTTTTCTCCCTCGGGGAAGGAAAGGCAGTTCCTAATTCGCCACAGGAGGGTGGAAAGTCCGTGCCGTTTTCTCCACCGTGGGGCACAGTCAGCGGAAGGTTCAGAGGTGGCTCTCAGGGCAACGGAATGAAAGTCTCCGAACACTCGCTCTCTGCAAGTACCCGCTGTGAGTGATTTCTGGAGCAAAGAATGGAGCCCAAATTTTCTCATTTAAACATTAAACGTTTTATATGTGGGATATTGGGGGCTCGTTTTATTTCAGCAAAAGCCACAGAACAGACCTGAGGCCGAGAGCGGCGAGAGCCGTGGGACTGGAACCCGCAGGAAGAGCAGCCCGGGTCGCACGGGATGGCAAGGTGAGGGACCTGGGGACAGGGCTCCGACCAGAGCAGGAGCTGAAGGGAAGGGCCCGGCAGGAGGCTCGGGGACCGGGGCTCCGGGTGCCGAGGGTCCTGCACCCCGTGCCCACGTGACCCTAAGCTCAGGTCGTCCCCAGGGAACAGGGTCGCTTTCTCTGCCTCCTGCCCAAGTTTGTCCCTGGTCTCCAGTTGTGCCTACGTGTGCCATCTTGTGGTCCATCTCTGATGTCACGTCCCTTGTTGTCACAGCCTGGTCCAGTGTCTCCGTGGTGCGTCCCCTGCACAGACACCTCCAGGGGCTGCAGCACCTCACACCCCGCAGGCGCCACCAGTGCCCTGCAGAGACCAGAGCTGCCCACACCGTCCTGATGCTGGCGGTCCCCTGTGTCACCTGCTACCTGCTGAACTCCTTTTTCGCTATATATGTCACTGCATGAGAGGGCCCCCTTCTGTGGTGGACGCAGCCCTCCCCCCGTTGGCTGCGCGTTCCCCTGCTCCCTGTCCCTCACTGCGGAGGCTTGGGGACCCTGGGGCTCCCGGGGTCATGGGCTGTTGGAAGTGGCTGTCTAATATGTAGATGTAGTGTTTATAATATTCTTTTCTGAAAAAGATTTTATTTATTTTCAGACAGGGGAAGGGAGGGAGAAAGAGGGAGACAAACATCGATGTCTGAAACAGTGATTAGTTGCCTCTTGCTCACCCCCAACTAGGGACCTGGCCTGCAATCCAGGCATGTGCCCTGACAGAGAATCGAACCAGCAACCTATTGGTCTGCAGGCTGGTGCTCAGTTCACTGAGCCACACCAGCCAGGTGTATAATATTCATAGTTACAGTACAGTTTACTAATCCTTCGCTGAATGCCAATGTTGTTCATACACTCCACCATGAACTTTATTTTTAAATTAAAGTACAATTGACAGAAAACCTTGTGTAAGTTGAAGGTGTCCAGCGTGTTTATTTGATGCATTTACATTCATTCATGCGCCGCAAGACGACGGTGACCCCCCTGAGAAAAGTGGGGTGTGGGTTCTGTCGCTGTGCGAACAGCATAGAGGCGCTCACACCTGGGCGGTCCCGCTGCCGCTCACCCGGGCCGCTGGGCGCAGCCTGGGCTTCTGGGCCACAAGCCTGCAGGGGGCGCTGTTGGACAAACAACACGGGATTAAACCAAGACGAGAAAAGGACGCTATCAAGAGACTTGATAAACACCAGAGGTAGGAGGCTGCTGCAGCCGTAACAAAACATGCTGTGCTACAGAAAACTTTTTCTTTAAATCTTCTCCTGAGGACATGTTTATTGACAGGGGAGTTGGGGGGGAGAGAAAGAGATCAGTTGCATTTAATTATTTTGCTGAAAACTCATGTTAGCATTAGATTAATTGCCCTTTAATGTGCACAGGTGAACAAACGCTTTTACTTTAATGATAATTTCTCCTTTACAACTTTTAACGTTTTAATCTTTTACAGTGAATATACATTCATCATATAAATTGCATGTTATCTATATGCACATGATTAACTTAAACAGCGTTGTTCACATGTATCACAGGGAGGCGTGGGGAGGGAGTCAGGAGCTGAGCGCAGGGTCGGCGGGGCGGGGCTCCGGGCGGAGGTGCCCCCTCCGCCCTCACTCAGGCGCCCCGCTGTGGCCGGAAGCCGGGCTTCCCTTCTTTAGGGGCGTGGTCATTAGTATTTCATCAACTCTTCATTGCTTTAAGTTGGTTTTTGTATTATACATGGCATTTTTAGCCATTTACAATGGGAGGGTTTGTCCACAACATGCAGCCACCTTTTTCAGG